GGTTCCAACTGTCATTTTAGATTTGCATAATTTATACTCTTGATGAAAGGACATCCAACAAATAATGAAGGATGAATGTATAACACTTGGTCACATTATTTGCCTTTAGACATCTTTATTTCCAGCTGAACAATGTACGGGGTCGTACTGAGCCCACTTTTTCCGTCTATTTTTGTGATTGGTTAGAATTATATTTCATATTTACATGAAGTACATATTGCATTGTCTCTTGGAAACTACTGAGAAATATGGTCAACTTATTTTAATAAAAAACAACAACCTTTGGTCCTTGCTGAAATAGAAAAGCTGTAGACCCTGCTAGATGTTTCTTGTAACTTACTACTAAGAAATATGGTCAACTATGATTTTAATATAAGAAAAATAACCTTTGGTCCCTGCTTAAATGGAAAAGCTATAAACCCTGTTAGATGGCTTTTGGAAACTACTAAGAAATATGGTCAACTGATTTTAATAAAAAACAACCTTTGGTCCCTGCTGAAATGGAAAAGCTATAAACCCGGCTAGATGTCTTTTGGAAACTACTAAGAAATATGGTCAACTGATTTTAATAAAAAAACAACCTTTGGTCCCTGCTGAAATGGAAAGCTATAAACCTGGCTAGATGTCTTTTGTAACTTACTACTAAGAAATATGGTCAACTATGATTTTAATAGAAAAAAACAACCCTTGGACCCTGCTGAAATGGAAAAGCTATAAACCCGGCTAGATGTCTTTTGTAACTTACTACTAAGAAATATGGTCAACTATGATTTTAATATAAAAAAACAACCTTTGGCCCCTGCTGAAATGGAAAAGCTATAAACCCTGCTTGGTGACTGCAAAAAGCATCCACATTGCTTAAGTAATGTTACCTCTTACAACAATGGAACAAGATGGCAAAGAATTACATTAAAAGAAACAATAGGTTTGGCCAGATGAATCTTTATTTGTATTAAGGGTAAAATTATTCTATTCAGCGGAACCTCTGTCAGTGTTTTTAAGAAAGTAATATTTCTATCTGTCATATAATCTTTTTTTTTAATCTATTGATGAGAAAGTTATGTTTTATATATATTCAATCAGTTTTAATTTGTTTGATATTCACTAGTATGTATTTTTTATACTTTATTCTGCTTACAGAAGCATTCAACTTCCCATTGTGACTCATATAAATGCACTATTACAGACAAGGATTTATCAATGAAAAATTATCTAACCTTTCAAAATGATCAATACTATTACCTTTGTCAAGTTTTGTAGCATGATATTTTTCATCAGTATTTTTTATATCTAATTTTTACAAGTTTATTTTTTTTTCAATAAATGAAGAAGTTCTGGTACTAGTATTAGTTACTTATGTACAATAAATTTAATAATATATTCTTCACAAAAGGTCTTGCATCATCATTGTTAAACTTGAGTGTCCTACCTGACAGTGTGTTGTAGAATAATATTTTTCTTGACTATAAACACACACATGATGCAACACAAAAACATTATTAGAAATGAAAATAATATAATCAGAAACTATAAAAAGATGCACACAAGAAAAGGACTAATCACTTGGGAAGTGTTTAAAAACTTAAGTATGTAAATTGCTTTGTTTTTGGTGACCATGATATAACTACTTCAAATATACATTATTGTAATTTTATTACAGTGCATCAAAGTTTAGCACCTTCACTTTCTGGTAACTACTGGCTTTCAACTGTATCCATTTTTAAAGCTGAGAACTATTTAAAGTTTAATATCCCTCTGAAAAATACATAAGTACAAATTCAGCCAATACTTTTACAGTTGAACAAGCAGAAGGCAATGAATCATAAAAGTCAAACAAACCAAAAAATATTCAAATATTTGATTGGGAGAAGTAAATATAAGCTCAAGAGCCAGCAGAAAAATTACAATTCTGTATGTGCAACATTTATAGTTTAGACACCTAACAATGTGAGAAACATTAAAGTTTGAACCAGAAAAATTGTTATTTATGAAATAAACTAGGTAAGCATTATATGATGTTAAAATATTTGTGTATAACATTTTTTAGGTAGAATTAAATATTCGAAAGCTGGTTAGAGCTTGCCCTGAGAATTTTCTGACCATTCTTTGGACATTTAGTGTTAAATTGCTTACAATTCAAACAAAACATGATGATTTTTTTAGAAATATGGAAACGATAAAATGTTATTTAAATTAATAATAAACTTCTTGTAATCTAGTAAACCACATGTTGAATGGTTTTGATTTGTTTAAAGAAATAACTTTCCAACTTTTTTTCACTTAAACACTATAATTGTTTTTCAGCTGAATTTTTGAACTATATGCAGACTTATTGTGAAGCTGAATATATCATTGTATGGTTTGTACATTATTGTCAGGTTAATAGCAATATGTTATTTTTTAACTACATTTCAAGTTCAGAACTTTTAAAAGAAAGAATATGGATCCAAAATATTTTTCCTTGGAGCAGTACATTAATAATAAGTTTTTTAATACTCTACCTTAGAAATGTATATTTTGATAGCTGCGTATATATGTTTTACAGTTTCTGTTTGAATTTGTTATGGTATTATGGTTAGTCACCCACAAAAATTACCTTTGGGACAAATTAGAAATAAAATCATTTCCTAAAAGTTATGAATGTCAAAACTTTATCCTACAGAAACTAACTTCATAAGTAAAGTCTTCAAGTTTTCTGAGTTACATATACTACCATACACTCCCACTAATTTTTAAAATGTGTACATTTAAGATGCTAGTCACTTATTTTAATGTTTTGTTTATTATTAAATTGAGATAATATTATTTGTAGGTGCCAGATTATCATCATGTGATCAGTAATCCAATGGACTTGGAAACAATAATGTCTAAAATTGACCTCCATTGCTATCAGTCTGTGTCACAGTTTCTAGATGATATTGACCTAATTTGTCATAATGCTCTTGAATACAATCCAGACAGAGATCCATCAGGTAAAACTTCATAAAATTTTCACATATGTTTAGTATTGTGCTTTAACATTTTTCATACACTGTCCTTGATTTGTTTTTGTATACAGAAACTACTTTGTTATTCATTTCCCTAATGTGGGGTTTCTACATGGATGAATAAAATTGTTTCATGACTCTTGAGTGGAGTATTTCAGGAAACTTGCAATGCGTTGAAAAGGTTAATTGATTTTTATCTATTTTTGTTTAAGGAGTTAGTATTATTTTGTGGTAAACATTTCAGAAATATCACAAAAATAATTTTATATAGTGGTTATTTCATTATGTTAGTGTAACAATCTGCAAAGCCGTACTTTCAGTTTAGAACAAGCATTTACAAAATATTTTATTAAAGTACATATAGTAAATGTAGAGCTTAAACCTTGACTGTAGCATGTACCATAAAAAGTTCAAGGCAATAATGAATATAAATATACGTTTTTCACAATATGATTACACTTTTTATCGTGTGTGTATATATGAACTAAATTCAAAAATACTCAGATTTATTTTTGTAAACGTTTAGAAATTGTGTCAAACTACACAAATAGATGTTACATTTAGAATTAAACACCACTTTTGTTTTAAGTGCTGTAACTATTGTATTAGATACAATATAAGCATTAAATTGAACTTTGAGATAGAAGAGATACTACGTTATTCCACGAAGAGAATTGCTAATGTAGCTTTTTTAATTACTGCTGCACTAATGGTATAATAAAAAAAACTAAATTTATGTACATGTCCTTTAATAGGAGCTATAGTGTTTTGACAGGTTTAGTATGAAATGGTGATTTTTGCCATGATAAGATAATAAGTTTGATATATGTGTAACTATTGCTTAGAGCTGTTTAGTATTCCTTAAATGTTTTTGCTTTCATAATGTTTAATGTATAACCATTTCCCTAAAATACTAGCTGCGACCCACAAAACATTTGCAATAGTCTACATGCCCTTCTCTTCAATTTTCCTTATTCTGTCATTTTCATGCACTCCATTTAAGCTATGAGTTCTTGCAAGCAGTATGTGTTAGATTGATAAATCCTGGTCTGTTTGAAAAACATTTATGCAGTCAGACAAACAAACTGAAGTAGATGTAACTTTTTTTAATAAAACTACAGAAAGTAAACAATAGTGTACAGAGTTTGAAACATTTATGAGCATTCAGTGTATGTCATGGTTTTACGAGTTGAAACAAAGAAACTCTCAAGACTAAGAATAAAACCCGTAGTAAAGTAGCTAAAAGGTGTTTATAGTAGTCTATGAAATGAACTGAAGCTAAATTATTGCAAAGTAAAATAAATGTAAAGTTGTAATGAAGGCAAACTTAGCTAAATACGCAGAAAAGTCTGATGTGTGTTCACCATATGGTTTTGAATGAACTGTTCATGCGTATTTTAGACCTAAATTTGTCGAGAAAGCCCATAGAAATTGTATTTAGCATAATGTTTATTTTATTTAGGAAATTACACATGGGTTAAGTGTTGTTTGTGAAATCCTTTGCAACTAAAATAAACTAAAGTTGAAGTCGAAGCCAGTTGTTACGTTATAATAATGATGATGTGCCACTCTGTAGCATACTTGTTGCAATGAAAAGTTTGACTAAGCAAACTTCAGATAAGGTGATACTGGATGGAAAAGCCAATATGCAATATGAACTCCTCAGACAAAGGCCTTTCTAACAATGAGATTTGTAGCATTTTATTGAGAAATTTGCAAGAAAAGTTCTGGACAGACAAATACAAATATATTAACAATTTTAGATAAATTCACAGTATGAAAGGGAATATGTAATAGTTAGTGTTTATTACTTTAAGATGTTTTAGACCTGTCTTCTATAATAAAAAAAAAGTATAAGTTATAGTACTGTTAAAAATATGTTGAGAGCTTTGAAGAATAATGAATTTTTTTACACTTTCCAGATAAACTGATACGCCATCGTGCTTGTGCTTTGAAAGATACTGCTCATGCTTTAATAGATACAGAGTTAGATGAAGAGTTTGAAAAGATTTGTGAAGGTATCTTAGAATCTAGAAAACAGAGAGGTAAGTTTGAACATATCAATAACTCATGAACAACATTTAAAAATGCAAAATAAAAAGTATTTGGCTTATGTTAAATGACTACATGTTTCAACAGTTTTACACTGCCATTATCAGGGTTAGAGTATACATAGCAAGCAAGAAGCCTTATAAGGAGATTGAGCAGTCATATGAATACGTCATTTTGTATAAGAAATTAGTACTTCTTTTCAGATCTCCATTAAAACAAACTAATTCTTTATCTATATTTAGGAATGAATTATTTAATTAGAACATAAAAATTATATTGATTCTCTGACAGTAAGTTCACTGAGTACTAGGTTCATTTAATAGTTTCATGTTAATTTATTGAGTGACATGTTTCGACAGCGTGTTCTGCAAGTGGAGAAACTGACATCTTTGTATTATATATTTAAACTTTATGTTCAGTAAAGAAACGTATAACATTTAGTTTGACAAATATATTTTTATTGTATTCACATATTTCATCTATACTTTTTTTATCTTTAGTACTGGGAAGTATTGTTTTAATTTTATTAATTAGTTTAAAAAAAGGAATAAAATTATGTTGCTGAATACACTGGTGGTTTGGCTAGTTACACCTTGTACATATAAGAATGTTACTACACTGTTGATTTTCTTATCTTATTCACTGTTTATTCTAGTACATTGCATTATAAAATTTGAATTATATTTTCCATAGTATTGCTGAATGATGTCAACATTAAAACCTCTTTCATTAGAAATTCCTTTTTAAACTTAATTTAGTTAATTTTTCACATTGGTTTGTATTGGAACAAATTTCAAATGCTCTGTCATGGCATTATGGAGATACTGAGTTAAAAACTTTTGCTGATTACTTAAATAATGTTAGTCCTTTTAGGGTTTGTTTACCTATCAAATTGAATAAGGTACTTGTTAACTTTTTTAAAAGTATTTGTTAAAATAAGTAATAATGGCAGTATTTCTACAACTGTTTATCAGAAACCATATTCAGTTTCCGTGCCACACGAAAATTAATGTTACCCTTTTTTTCAAATACTTGCAGTTTTCCATATGTACTTAAATAGGGCATTTAAAATTTATTCTGATACAAGTAATTTTAAAAAGGAACTAAATTATAGAGGCCAACATTTATAGGAATATGCAACATGACTCTGCCAAGCAAAAAGAAAATGTACATCACTGCTTGGGACCTGCAGGAAAATGTCTTTGTACCAAATCCCATGTAAATTGGTCAAAATGTGGTCTAACAATTGACCAAAAAACCCCAAAATTTTGCTATTTTTTGTGAGCTCTGACCCACCTGAAAAGACTTAAAATGAGTAAATTCAACTTTTTTGTATGTGTCATGAAAATTTATATTTGTGCCAATTTTCATCTTGATTGCTGTAAATGTGACTGCACAAGAGCACACAATTAAATTTTTTTAGGTTGTTTGACCTCATAAAAATCCTTAAAAAGGCCTAAATCACATAAACGAAAAAGTGTCTGGGCATATTTGACAAAGATGGTCTAACCCTACTAAGTTTCAAGTCAATTTGCCAAGAAATGAAGGAATACCAGTTGACTGTAAAGTGTTTGAAAGAAGAAACAGTAGAAAAACATGTCTCTCTGTAGAGAAAATTATATAAAAAGCATTGCTAATGATAGAGGTTTTAACTTCAACATCGTCGAACATATAATATGTGGAAAAAGTATCCATTTTAAATTAAGATTAATTTTTTAGTTCATTTTATTGTAATTTATTCATTTTCTTTAATTTTTCCAAACACCATGACATCTTTTTGTTTATGTGTGTATGTTAGAATATCAAATAATGTTTCTTTTCTTATTTGTACCTCTCACCTTTAGTCATATTGTTTCCCACTGTTAGTTTGGAATGTGAAAAATGATTTGAGAAATTGAAAGAAATCTGTTATTTTATTATTATTTGACAATCAAATGGATTTTGATTACTGACTGTAAGTGTACAGGTAAATTTTGTATATTCACTGATATCAAAAAGACAGTTCTAAATATGCTATATTTAGTAATTTTTTTCATTTTGGTTTATGCATAATACTTACTGTATGTTTAAATGTTGTATCAACATTTTCGTTAGTATGGGTAGTGCAGTTTTGATTTTAATGCAAATTGCCATCAAATCCAAAACAGCCAGTGGTCATATTGTTCAAGAATGGAGTCCAACAATAAAAAAATCTTAATCAAATTATTATTTAAAGCACAGTTTAGAGGCCATTTGGAGTGAATTGATTTTACAGTGTATACTTTTAATTAATAGTTTACTTTGATTACCAGGTGATACGCCATCCAAGTATGCTCCTAAGAACTATAAAGTTCTTCCCCGTCCACGACCTGAAACACAAAACAGTACCACTGATCCTAAAACAAGTGTTAAGGAAGAGAATGAAGCCAGCCAGTCTTTGGTTACAGCTTCACAGAGGACGAGAGTGCTTGAGGTGACTCCCACTTCTTCAGATCCAGAAGTTGCTAGTAAAGAGAGAAAACCAGTAAATCGTAAGATTTTTTTTTATGTATTTTTTCTGAATAAATATAATGATTAAAATCTGTATTTGATATCCATGAGATGCCATACGAAGATATGCTACAATTAAAACTTGCTGAAAGCTCTTATTTATGTAGAAAAAAGACAATTAGTAAATTGGATGCAAGTTAAATTTTTAATTTAATTCCTTTGGTTTCTAAGAGCATTCCTTAAGATTTATCACTATTCACAAATGCTAAAAATATGTCTTAAGTAGGGAAATCATGTATTCCGAAGCAATCTTTTACAATATTTTGAGTTTAATATGTAAATGTAGCAAATTTTTTTTTAATAATACAATTAACATAACACAATTTTATATAGGAGATGAGGATTACTGTTACTATAAATTAAAAAGTTTGAAAGCTCCATTTAAAGTTTTTCTATTAAAACATATATTTAGCAGTATGAAATGAATTGTACTTCATCTCCAGCATTTTTAAGGAATCAGCAAAAGAAAAAAAAAGATTGATATTACAAATAAATACTACTTGTTGTGTTATTATGCATATAAAGCTGAGTAATCAATGGAATTGGTTAATTAATGTCTGACTCGTAAAATAAATTTTTGTGCTGGCTAAATTGTTCAGTAAATGTTTTTTTATTAAATTTGATGTGTGATTCACTACATCGAATTCTGAACTAAACATTAAATGTGGTTGGTTCATTAATTTATTATGTTTGTCTAATTGACAATTCTTATACAAGACTTTATATTTTAAACTTGATTTGGTTTTTTGAAAGACATTTTTGGACTACTTTTTGTTTAATACAATAGACATTTTCAGGTACAGCAGTGTAAGATTAAGTTATTTTTTTAATTATAAACTGTTCTGCTTGAAAATGTTTCGTGCGTGCAACATAATATGAAATTGTACAAAGCTGAGTAGTTTGTTTGTATGGGTTATAACACTGATTGATTAAGTTGAAGAAACTTGAATAAATAAGAAATATTAATAAGAAAAAGTAATGGATATATTCCAATTACTTGGATTGTTGGAATAATAGTGGACTGACTTGAATTAATGAAAAATAATTATGGCAGTTCTTTGACTACTTGGATAGTTGAAATAATTGTAAGTACTAACTTGGATTAGTTGATTATTTTTGTTACATTAATTGATGCTTATAGGTAATCAAGCCCACCCCTGTTATTGAAACCGTTAACAGTTAAGTTTGACTGCAAATTACATTTTTGAGTTGTTGAAAAGGAAATAAGGTGATAAAAAGTGTGAAGGCTTTCAAATTAATATTAAGAAATGTTAGAAAAACATTTATTGAAAAAATATGTAGAGTTTATTTGCAAAGAGAGAATTCTTTATTTAAGAAAAGTCATCTCGGCCGAAATTTGTTATTGTTCACCACCGAAAACCAGGACTTTGGTTTGGATGTCGAAGACGAACAATCCGACGAGTTCCAAGTACAGCTCCTCAAAAGGTTGATATGGACAGAGCTCTAAAAATTACTCCCATAGATGACAGATCAGAAACTAAAGAAGCCGAAGTTAATTCCAAATTGCCCTCTGCTGACAATGAGAAAACCTCTGTTAGCAGCCATTTTCATGGTGATCAAACTGAAAGCTCAGGCCTTGGTTCAGAACTTACAGGATGTAGCTCAGGAACAAATAATTCTTCTACATCAAACACCTGTGTTGTGTCAGAAGAATCAAGCAACCTTTCCATAGACGATGGACTTCATACCGGCAAAGGAAACTGTGATAATAAAGACTCAAGTGATGTCAAAGATGCTGAAAAGTCTGAGCAGCAAGATGAAGTAGAATTAATCTCAGTGGTATGTTGCAAGTCTTGTAATGATAAGGTTTAGCCTAGATGAGTTTAGTGTCATATAATGTTTATTTGTCTTATTTTAGTGTTCATAATTTGTGTAAGAACTAATGCTCTGTTTCCGAATATATCTGAAGTATTTTAATTTTTTTTCCTGCTGTAAGCTTGAAATACAGTGTAGCTATATTTTTGTTAAAATGAGTAATTGTATGATGAAAAATATTTTTTTTAAATGGAAGAAATGGCACGAACTTTTAGTAATTTAGATTAAAACCATTAATAGATCCAACAGAACTGGAAATGAGTGCTCATATATATTTTCTAATCTTTTCTTAAACTATTGTACAGAAAATAATTTGGTTACACAGCTTTACAGAATTATCAGTGGCATTCTGTTTATTGTTATCTTAATTGTTTCTACTGATAAAAGAAAATGTGAATATAACTGATGATGAACAAATAGATTCTTTTCATTAACATTTTTCTTGATGTACAAAGTGTCAGTTTAGTTAGTATTCTCTCGAATTAATTTCATGTTTATTTTATTTTAAAAAATTAAAAAGTTTTAAATGATGAACTCAACATTTCCTTTGCTTTAAAAAAATGTTAGTTTAGTTAGTATTCTCTCGAACTAATTTCATGTTTATTTTATTTTAGTCGATTAAAAAAAAGTTTTTAAATGATGAACTCAACATTTCTTTTGCTTTAAAAAAAATGTCAGTTTAGTTAGTATTCTCTTTAATTAATTTCACATTTACTTTATTTTAGTCAATTTAAAAGTTTGAGCATGGGTGTTTCAGTGTGCCGTACTATACTTAAACATTTTTTCGGCTATTTTTCAATGTGTTAGATTTCTTATAGTTACTACTGAAAATAATTTTATATGTAGATTATTTGACATTTATTTTTTCAGGCCTCTTCTGACAGGAACAAGCATATTGTTCAAGAACACGATTTGTCTGGCATGTGTTTTGAAGAAACAAAAGGTATTTGATAAGCGACTATTAAAACATCTCTGGTTTAATGGCACACATTAAATACACACACATTAAAAAATAATTATGAGTAATCTAAAATCATGAATTTAAAAAATTCCATAATTGTAAACGCATCCTTCTAAAAATTTAAATTGTAAAAAAAACTGTGTAATTGTTTGCAGACATAAAATATGCCAACATTAATCATCTAAAAAGTAGTTGTTGAAGTTACACGAAGATCTACCAAAGCATGTGATTTATGCTATTTTACTATGAAAAACAACCAATCATATGTCTCCTAACAACAGCAACAAAGTTTCTGGAAAGAGTAACTAAAATGTCAGTTGTTGAATCCTTGGAATCCATTATTAAAAGGCAACGTAAAGTTAATTAAAAACAAGTTTTGATGAGAATGGTAAAAGCTAGTTGGGAAAGGTAAAGTGTGCATAGATCTTTCCAAACATAGCCAAAACTTTATTCTAGGGTGTCAAAAATATGAACTTCATGATATATATTTTCAGGAAATTTCCCTTCTAAAAGAGTTGCGTGTGTGTGTATTACAAAATTTGTTAGTGGAATACAGTGTTAATGTAACTCTAATACTAAAACTGTTGAATCATATATACACACTTTTAATTTTTGGTTGTGAAAACTTTTACATTTTTCAATTTACAAGCTATATTAACCTTAAATTTAATATATTCTGTTTTAGCAGTTGTTTAAATAATGTTGTCTCAGAAGTAGTTTGTAGTACATCACTGGACATATGTTTTCTAATAATTTTGGAGTAGCCTCTGAACCTAAAGAAGTTGTAGTTGACAGTAGAAAACTAGAAAGACTTCTGCAACGAGTGGTGGATATAACGGAAGGTTCTTCTTTGGAAACTTTGGAACGACTGTACTTCAATCTAGATCACTGTATTTATAGACACAGGAAGGCATGGAATAAAACTGATCTTGTGAAGGTAAGAGAAAAGTAATTTTGTAGTTGAACACATTGACCATCAAAGTTTTGAAACTTTTCCATAGTTATGTGCTGTTTGAGGTCAGAATAGTGTTATTTAAAATATTTATTCAGTTTTTATTCTTAGAAAACATGTCTTGTATGTTGTGAGGACTTGATGATGACAGACATAAGCATACCACAAAGTTGATTCTGTACCATTCTGCTATGAGAGTCAAGAGTCATTGTTAAATGTAAACAACATATGTGCTACCTGTGATTGCTAACAGGGATACATTATGTACTCTTTTTTTTTTAAGTCAAATTTTTAACTAGCACGGATGTAAGATCAAATAAAATTAAAATGCAATGTTTAATATTTATACAATTAAAAGCTTATTGAAGATATCAATGGTCTTCACTTAGTAATGTTTACATGTTACATGTTTTGATGCCTTTTATGTCATCTTCAGGAGTTATTTATAAGGAGTCAAACATGTAACCTTTGTCATGTTTTTAAGTGAAAGCCATTGATGATTTTTAATAAACTTTTTTATCAGTTGAAAATGAAATGTTGTATATTAATTATGTATTTGATTTTTAAACATTGTACAAATGCTGATCATTCATACTTAGCACGGCTTGTTTTGGTCTGCTTTATAACAATAAGAAATTAGTCGTTACATTATGTTTTCCACATATCACAGATATATTACATTTAGACTGTGTAATGTTACTAATTTTTCAAGAGATAATCTTGTTCCATTTCTTGGGTGATTAAAATTGTCTTCAGAGCAGCAAGTGAAACTAAGAATAAAATTATTTGTAAGGAGCTTAATTGAGATGTAGTTGAATTTTTTCATAGAATACCTCGTGGACAATTACATTTAGTTAGTGACAAGTCCAGTACACTGAAGGATAACATCCATCTAACTTGTTGGAAACTTTAAAAAAAATGTTGCTGTAATTTCCTCTGTACAAGACTTTCTATCCCATTCTATGAAAATATGATAAATTTATTAATTTGTACTTGATTTTTCTAGGATCTGGAATCAACACTTGACCAATTTCAACAACTGAATTGTACAGGTCAACCTATGTTGGCAAGGTGATGAAAAAAAGAATGAGTCTTTACTAATTGATATGTAATATTCCCATAGTTCACTCTATTAGTTCTTTTTGATGAAATTCATCCAAAGAAATGAGAAGATTATAAATCACTTTGGATGTAGATACAGAGCTCATTGACTTACTTTTCTTCACTAATACCATACTTTTCTATTGACCAAAGGAAGGGTTTCATCTGATCTTTTTTTGTTTGTTTTACTTGAATGTATGTAGTTTTTTGTGTTCATTCTTTTCTGGTTTATTCATGAGTTAGTTTTTGACCAAAAAAATACAAAAAAAGGCATTGTGTTGCTCATGTACATAGATAATTTTTTAAACAGATTTATCTGGAAAAAAGTATATATATATATCTACACCTAGAAAAAACGAGAGATTTCATTGTAAAATGTGCATTGTAGTGATGCTACATAACTTTAAATACTTGAAGGTAGTTAAAAAAACAGAGTCAGGTGGTGCCTTTATACTTCCCTCAATACCAAGCTTATCAATATATCACCAAATATTTAAAAACTCATGAAAATTTGATATTTAGTTTCCATGTAATGAATTATGAGTTGTACAAATATATTCAAAATTTATATGGTGAAAACTAAATGAATTGAAAAACCTAAATTCTTATATTAATTTCTGATATTTTATACATTTTTCCTTATGTTTATTTAAAGACACTATGTTTTTGTGTTCATCATCCCTAGATTAATAGGCTAATTTTTCAAGAGATGCCAAGGTTATGAATAATCTCCTGTTACATGAATTTAACTATGATATATTTGTGCTTTTTTGGTTGATTTAATTTTATTGGGTAAATGTAATGATCTCAAATTTAGTATGATAACCATAAAATTGTAAACCACTATCATTCCCCCATTCATCATCCCAGGATTAAATTATCACTTATGTACTAATTTTAGGACAGAAACTATTTTTCAGTCTTTTTGTAGGTGAACATGCAAATTTTCTGTAATGTTTGGATATATATTAAATGAAAAAACAAACTGGAAATTAGAGTAGAATGTGAGTTTAGGCTTTTCATTGAACCGTAGGGTTTTTATTGGAAACAGCAGAAAAGTTGATAAAGTTGTAATATTTAGATAGCCTATATTCATTGTCCATGTGATAAAGTTTCACCAAGTGTGTTGTTATAGAAGTATTGAAACATGCTGTAGTATGTTAGCTATAATATCAATATAGATACAGTAATTTTAGTTTCTAAAAATTTCAAATGTTGATATGGGAATAAATGATGTGTATAACCACTTTTAACATATTTATAAAGATATTAGACGTCAGAGGTCTTTACACATTAATGTTGTATATGGTACTTTTTATCTGAAGCCAGGGGCATCTCATAATAGCCTTGTATTAATAAAAGCCCTTCAGTTAACTTGAGTTTGTACTAAACACACCCTTCTTCAGTAAAAAGTTTTTTTTTGTTGTTTTTTTTATATAGCATTAGAATGGTAACGTTCCCGTATGAATTGCTCAATTGTGAAAACAGGTATGTTGTGTGTAGTCATAGCATGTATGTATACAGAATATTTACAATGTGTATTGTTAAATATGCATTTCATAATTGTATTACATGGGTTTCAGTCATGTGGTTATAATCACTGCCAGATTTTATACATTATAAAGAACTGCCATACCACCAAAGAAAAAACAAAAACTGATTGTTTTGTGAAAGATTTCTTCATCAGTGCTTCAGGTTTTGTTCACAGTTTTTCTGCCTTTTTGCCAGTTGTTGTACATATTTTCTCAGATTGATAGGGGAAGAGTTGTGTATTTGTTTTTTTTGTATGACAGATGCCAATGTCATTTTGTGTTGAACCACAAGTACACTGCCTTGCTCTTCCAGAATAATCTTAACTTTAATATTTGTTGAAAAACTGTTGTAGTCATCTAACATCAACTTTGTACTTAATGATTTTACAAGTCACCAAAACTATCATAATTATGAATTTCAGCTTTAGGATTTTTCTGAGCTTCCTCATTATTTTGAATTACCCAAGAGCAGATTTTGTTGTCATCAAAATTATTGCTTTCTTGCCCTTTCTGGTTCATAACAGTAATGTTAAAAGCTAAACATTAACCTTAGGTGAACCATATTAGCGTCACCTTTGAACTCTCTACATTTTACATTATGATCAGCTGTATCTGTTCATTTTTGTTTATGATATAAAATCTTAAATGTATGTTTAAGGATACAAAGAAGTAACATAAAGAATTATCCTGGAGGAAATGTAGAGACGTATTTGTGTGAAAATACATTAAGGTTGTATTTGAAGTTAATGTCTCAGATGAAATTCACATAAATATATGTAAAGAAGGACCTCATCTTGTTAAAGAAATCACAAGTAAAATATTTAGATGATACATCTTGTATGCCCTGTTGTCTTAAAAATGTATTTTATATGATGTTGGTTCAAAAATGTTCTGCTGAGTCACATACATTTGACATGTCTAGTTTTCATAAAGTAGACAGGTTCAGTGGCCTTTGCATAATAGTTAGGTACCACCACAAATGTTCACAATTTGCTCAGTTTATATTTACTGAAATAACCTTTTATTTTATTATATTTTTTGTCCGTACCTCAAGAGAATTGCCAGTAGTCGTACTTGCATACAGCGTCAACAATTTTGACTATCTTGATCAACCATCTTTACAACCGTGTCGGACACTTCATGTGCCGAAGTACAGGATGTCCTAAAGTTATTTTCTTAATTTGAAAATACGTGTGAGCGACTGCTGGCCTTCTACTTTTGCTAGGTGGTAACCACCCATCCTAAATCTATGATATACTTGTAACAGCTTAATGTCCTCTCCATGCTATTAAAATGTGAATGTAGTTCATTTTGGACAACTTTGAAGCCTTGTAATTTTCAGAGCCAGAGAGTAAGATGATGAGATACATCCTGAGAAAACCACTGAATAATTTCTTTCCCAAAAATATTCAAGAGATGTTGTTGAATGTCTCCTTTCCAAAACTTTTGCTAACCCCCCTTTCCCCCAAAAAACATCTTGAATGTGTCCTAAAAATACCCACTTCTCAAAGATGTTAAATATCTCCTAAAATATATATCTACCTCAGAGATGCTGAATACCTATTAAAAATTTCCACACCCCCCCCCCTCCTCCCAGAAAATACATATATTGTATCCACCTAAAAATATTCCACCTAACCCAAAGATATGTTTAGATATTGTGATGTTTCACTACTGAGTATGTAATTTATGGACATCCTGTAAACTAAAGCAAATTGTATTGTTGAAATGTAGGAGTGTGTTTATTTGTGAAACAGCTACCTGTTGAGCCAAACAGTGTTTATCTTAGTTTACAAAGTCTGTGCTCATGTAAAGTACTTTGTTCATAGGAACATGAATGGTCATTTAAAGTATAATGAATTGTTTATAAAAGTATATAGTCACTTGTAGTTTGTCTGGTTAATGAGAAAAAAGCATTGGTAACTAAAGCTTTGGATACAGAATTCTCACAAATTACCTCTGAGCCATTAAAGTTATCAAACTGTAAAAATTAGGTAAATTGGTTCATCCTACAGGTTAATATTTTATATTAGAAGTCTCTCTATCAAACAGTCTGTTAACCAGTAGTGAATCAGAAGCATGATTTTCATCTTGGGAAATTTCAGATTATGTTAAACAGTTATGATTTAAAAGAATATATCAGTAAACAAAAGTAGTATATATTTTTTTTCTTTGTTCTTACATCATCTGAATCAGTATAGTTGGTATATTGGATTTCTTTAACTTTGCTTACGTATTGAATGTGAAAACATTACCTTGGGGAACAGAACAGGAAGGTCAGGTTTCTCGCTTCTCTAAAAGATGGTTGATTCTAGCTGAGCTGTAATACTTTTTACATTGTAGATTATGTATTCGGCTTTAAACTTAGCAACTGTCATTTATAGGTCATGAAACTGGAGTAATGTTACTAAATTATAGCATTTCATTTGATCATAAAAATTCCATTTGAGTTCTGAAATATGTCTGGTAAAATAAAAACGTTTGTAAATAATGTTTGTATAAATAACTGAAAATGTTTATAAAGAACATTTGTGTAATGTAAAATTGAACAGTTTATCAAGTAAAACAAACCATTTGGATTTCACTTTATAGTTGGCAACAATAACATTAATTTTGGTCATTTACTTAAAACTTGTATTGTGCTGCTAGCAAGATCTCAGGTTGCTTGTTTAGTCAGAGACCAAAGCTTTAATACACATTGCTTCAATAATACTCTTGAGAAAAACTGCCAGATCAGTATAACATTGTCATATTTCATCACACTTTAGCTTTGATACATTTTATTCTAGTTTGTTAATTATCACTTTAAAAGAGTTCTTTAGCATTATGTTTTGACTTTGGAAATTTCTTGTCATAGTTTTGAGAACAACTATCGCAGCATATAAACTTTTAACATTTAACTGTGAGATCACTGTCGCCTCGTACCAGACATGTACATATGGGTGCATTACAGCTGATAGTGGACACCAGATACAGTATTTAGAGAGAACACCAGATTGGTACACGAATAGGTACAATATATGGTACTCTGGCATGGCCCATTATAGAACACTAGATACAGTGCATGCTGTGGATGGGGGATAACAGGTATGGCCCATTATGAAATACTAGATACAGTGCCTGTTGGTGGGAGGGATAACAGGTATGGCCCAAGAGGGGACACCAGTAGAGTACATTGGGGTACACCAGGTATGGCATAGTTCTCCCAGTAATTAATATTGTTTCATTCTGAAGGTTTGAAGTTATGCAACTGGCTTGAGCAAATGGAGCATTTTACATGATGATCTGCATGAAGGTGAATGTTTTCTTTGCATTTCATTACACAGCAAGGATATTATAGTACTTAGAATTGTTACTGTTCAAAATAATTCTCCCTAATCCCCCTTAACCTAAGCTCTGCTGATTCAGATGCAAAAAAAAAAAAAAGTTTTGTTTTGGCACTACAATTTTTTGAAACTGAAGAATGTTTCAGATGTATTCTTAGTGTCCTACCACATGATGTTATTTATATGAATTCTTGATCTCAGAGAAAGAAAACAAAGTTCCTCCTGATCCCTATGTATAGTTTCATTTTATCTCCACTAGGTTTGTCTTTCTCGTCCAAGTGTGGTTTCATTTCTGTGAGATTTGTGTAGTACTTTTTATTAAGAGTTGTGTACAAATTTCTAATGACAGTATCAAGGCATATCCACCTGTATTCAATAATTTGTTTAATTTGTAACATTATTTTGCTCATTCATAATTTACATTGTTTTGATTCTGTTATTTAAGTAGCTTAATACATGTTTTAACATCATAAGAGTTGAAGATTAGAAGTGCTATGGCTTGTATGAGTAGCCTTAATAGTGTTTTTATTGCTGGTGTTTTGTCCTTGCAAGTGGTGATGATTGAGTACCAGTGTGTAAAGAATTGTTTCTCATATTTTAAACATGGATCTTCTTTTTTAACAACCCACCTGTGACACCTACAAGTCGAACTAACGTGTCATGTACTAACTTCCAATAAAAATTCAAAAACATGTGTTACAGTGGTAATGGCATTACAAGTTCAAGATGTGCGAGAAAGTAACAGAAAAGTCAATGGCAAGAATGATGTGTTCATAGATATTGGAGAAACCTTTTATTAAACAGTCATACAAGTTTTTCTTTTATAGTCATTTACAGAACATGTGTATATTAAACAACTGTTTCATTATAGTATGGTGGTGTTGACACAAATAGCAGGAAACATTGAACTGGTGCAAAATACTCAATGGTTGTAATTATTTATATACACCTAATTTGTTGATTTACACCAGTCAAATTATAGCTCATCATTATTACAAAAGAATGAAAAAATTGTTTGGAATTTTGTGGTATCTTGTCATGAGCTTTTCAGCATAAACATTGACAGACATTTCTTCTTGGCAAGAAAAGTAATCTGCCTTGTATCTTAAAATCAATTTGAGAACAGTTTGTAATGCAAAGAAGTTACGGTGTATGTTATATTTGATAATTTATGTAGTGGTAAGTCTTGACTTGGATGTTGAGTATCAGTTTAATTAAGAAAAATATTGAGTTATATTTTAATGTCATTTCTAATGCTGTTGATAATAATAATAATAGTATCAAAATGCCGAGAAGCAGCCTCTCCTGTTTGGATTTGTCATATTCTAGTTACTTTAAATCTGTTTGTCTCTTTATGATTACCGTTGTATTGTGATAATAAAACATCATTTTATTAGTCAGATTAGTCTTAGTTGTTAATTGAATATTTTTGGGGACTTTGCATTTCTCAGTAAAGTGATAAAAAATGGTAATTCAATATAGATTAATTTCATTTGTCAAATTTTTATAATTTGTTTTCATTGAAACTACTATTTTTTGGAAAAACTGAACAATTGATGTAAATGTGGTAAAACTTGTTTTTTTATTATTATTATTATTTGTAGTTCAGGAAAATTTCCAAATTTTAAACTTTTGTATGTAGGTTTCACACCATATTTTTGTATGAGAAAAGAACGTTTTTTTTTAATTCTAATTTTCAATCTCAATAATAAATTTGTTTACCAACTTTTAGTAATTAAACAGGTCAGAAGGTATCAGTTTGAAGATGTTTTTTATTGGTATTTCTATTGTGTTAATTCTGAAGATTTAAGGTATAGCAAAGTTTTGCCTAACTTTCAAACCTAGAAAAACCTAGTAGAGTCATGTTCTCACTTAAAATTTGGGAATTAAATCCACTTAACAGGTTTTAAATATTCTAGATATTAATTTGTTTTTTCTATTAAAATATGGGCCGTAACTTAAGGTTTTTTCTTACTTTTTAGTAAGTTAAAAATCATAATGTGGAAGACTTTTAGAAAAAACATTATTCACTCTGTGTAGTGGTGATGTAGTAGATATAACTAACATTCCTATCATAGGTTGTGTGACAGATAAGAAACAGACAGATTGCTTATTAAATTACAGACCTATCTTTTATATCGTATCCTAATATCTTATGATAAAAAGAAATCCACTTAGATTTGATTGAATTACATTTTATTCAGAGGACTGAACACTCATAACTGTGACCTTACAAGTTCAAGACTTTGTGTTGTACAATATATAAAGAATATCCACCTGTGACTTCTGTCCAAAACTAAATTTTTTGTTCTAATATCCCATCTTTATCCAAAAATGTAAAGGAAGGGGGAAAACTATATGTTGCCAAATGAGCATTGAACATATTGGTGTCCTCTCAAATTTTGCTGCATTTTTGGTTCTTCAGATATAATTTTTTGTTGTAGTTCTATGTAAATTCATTTTGCTGCTTACCTTGTGTTGTGTGTGCTCTGTTTCAACAGTTGTTTGATATATTTATGTAGCTTTTCAACATCACTTGATCTCGTATGACAAATTAACTATACTGTGTAGTTTTTGATCTTTCAAAGAGACTTCCTAAACCAACTGTCTAGAGAATTACCTGATATACGTTTAAAGTATGTTCATATATATGAAATTATGGAGTTTTTGCAAGCAACAGTTTTATTAGACGATCAAAAAATCCAAAATAGCTTTTTTTTTTTTCAGGTATCTCAAAATATAATTCCAAACTTGTTACTATTTTATGCTTTACGGGAATGGTATAATGCTAGGTTGGTGTTCTGTAGATATTATGGCTATTTGAAAAGACGTTAATGTGCCTTTACCTAGAAAATGCTTCTGTTATATAGCGAGTTCTAAAACTTCCTAAATAATACAGTTTGCATCTGAACTTAGCTTACAGAATTAATTGCTAACTGGAAATAATTTATTGGAAGAAATTTCCGTTTTCAGCATGTAACGTGCTACCTTTGAAGATATTTCTTGGAACAGACTAAGTCATTGCTAAGCCTTTTATTATTTAAATGCTTACTAAGGTATAACTTACTGTAAAAGATATGAAGTGTGACCTAAAATGCTTGGCCTATTTGAAATTTTACTCTTCCCTTATATGTTATTTTATTCTGTTATTCTTTTCAGCTTTAATTCGATCAGCTTAGAAGTAGAGATTTGTATTAATTGATGCCATGTTTATTCATCTTTGATAAATTGTTTTCCTTTATCAAAGATTCATGCTATATATATAGCCACGTAGGATAACGAAAATATCAAGTAAAAGTAAGAGACAAATGAAATCAAACTTGCTTTTATTTGCAGCTGTTTAACGTGTTTTCTCATCCTTTTGTGTTCCACAAGTTAAAGCCCAATAGCATTGTTCTTTTCCCTGTTATTCTTTTAACTAATTTTGGTGGATTTTTCGAGGAAAAGCATAATTTGGCATAATTTGTTTGGAGAAGAAAAAGAAACGTATTGCATTCGAAAGCTTTCACTAACGTATGAAAATAAAAAAATCTAAATATTATAATGAAATGGGAAAATTTGTTAAAATAGAATAACTTGGGGGGGGGGGGCATACAGACTCTACCCTAATAGTTATAGTGTTGATTCAATTTTTCATATAATATCTTTGTTTTCGTTTTAGATATTGATAATTTTCGATAATTGATGTTTTTTCTTAAGAATACATGTTACTTCTGTACGACTTGTTTAATACGTAGTAATAGCGAAACAAATTGGAAATAATTAAAAATTGTGTTCCTTTGAATATTGACCATGTTTACCCTAGTGACATAGAAATATGCTTATAAAGCTGCTTGAAAAAACTGAAACTGATACCTTTTTTACCTTGTGTCTGAGAAGTAAATCGTGTCATCACCACTACACCATTATTGTGACCATCACTGCCAATATATATGTATGTACATGTATATACAAGTTGGTTCGGGCTTCTGCTTTGAAAGGTCTCTACATTGAACAGAATTGTTTATACGTACTTGTACATGTTTGGTGTATTTTGTATTTAAACCCCTTTTTTGCACTGTTGTATGATTACAGTGATAATTATCTACCTCTAATTTCATTACCCTCTCCCCTACTTTTTTTTGGTGAAATAAAACTTGGGTGTAAAGCAATTTTTCTATTTGTCGTTTTTTATATATATATTGATCTTGTACATATTTAAGACCGTTTTCCTAAAAAATACATTGAATATGGAGCTTATTAGCTACAAACATCAAATACCAAATGAATATAAGAAGAGCTTCTTTTGTTTTTAAGATAAATTGTGGGAAAAACAGTCCAGCCTGTGAAAAGATGTATTCGTATTTCCCAAGAAAAAACATCGCTGTGATGCTATATTCTCAATTTCGATTCGCATTACATATATGGTGAGAAAGCAATGTTATTCAAAAGGCTCCCCAATACGTGTAATAAAAGTTCGTTAATGAAGTCTTGAAGAAGAAGAAAAACCTTCAGTGGCACAGCGGTATGTCTGCGGACTTGCAACGCTAGAAACCGGGTTTCGATACCCGTGGAGACAGAGCACAGATAGCCCATTGTGTAGCTTTGTGCTTAACTACAAACAAACCAAACCATTCAGTATTTCCATTCCTATATACAATGTGTGTGTGTGTGTGTGTGCATTAACTAAATATTAGGTCACATACATTGTGACGGTCCATTAATTTACGCTCACGTTGTCAACAGCAAAGTGTGACTTAAAAGTTCGATAATGAAAAGTCTTGAAATTTTCAAATATTACATTTCATTTTTGGTAATAGTTGAGTGAAATTTTGTGATCTCAAGAAATATATATTGTAATGTAGTTTTAAAGTACATGGGCCAAGCATGTCCTAGTTGTTAACAGGTTCGGTTGCGTTTGGAGTGTTCTTTGTTCGAGACGTGATGCTACTGAATACATTCTACTGTGAACAGTATAAAAGTTGCAGTCAATTAACAGTTTTAAAGAGCAGAACAATAGCCCTAGGGGCGGCGTGTGTTAGTAGCTGCTTTCCCTCTAGTCAGTAACTCAAAGTTAGGGAGGGCTGTATTTTTAGGTTTATGACCTAGCCGTTTAGTCCAAGTGCGCACAGTTGATAAATCCTAACATACTCTGCAACCACATCTCAGAGATGATGTTTCTTTAATTTATTGATCACTATACAGTTGAAAGTAAAATAAGAGGCTACCTTACATACATTAAATTTATATATATGTATATTATTTTAAAAATGCTAGATCTGATACGTTAGTAATTGGAATTTCTTTGTTCGTCTTTCAAAGTTTGTTTGGATTTTCGCGTAAAACTTCACAAAGAGCTCTCTACATAGGTGACAGGGAAGGCAGTTATTCAATAACACCCACTGCCAATTCTTGGATTAATGTTCTGTGACCGAATAGTGGAGTTTGACCTTCGCTCTTATAGTACACCAACGGTCCCAAAATGTGGATTGCATTTTAATGTCGACAGGACGCGAACCATGAATCCTCATATTCACAGTTTGGACACCTATCTATTAGGTTACGCTCGGTCATTTAGGGTTTGGTTAGGAATGTGATTTGGTGATATACTTTTTGAAATATATGAGAGACTAAAAAAAAATGTGTGTGAAATATTTAGTTTTAAAGCACATTAAAAATTTATTATACGTGTCAAAATTGCTTAAATATATTTATGAATGTTGCATTGGACGCTCAATACACATTCAAAGTCTAGCACCTTTCTATACATGTAAACTGGTGTAATTCTACGAAGTCGAGAGGTAATGTCTACCCTTTACTGCATGTGCAGGAAAGTGCCACTCCTATACTTCAAGCTGAGATTATTTTCCTTGTTCCACATTCAAATGTGGATCAATGAGATTTTAATTATATTTGAAGTGGAACGCATTATCTAAAATAAAGTTTTATCAATAACTGAACGTTATCATTAACTGTCACGTGTGTGGGAGGGGGGGGGATAAAAGGGAAATCGATTCGTCGCTTCTAAATTTAGTATTACATTTACATTCACTGTGATCCAAAGCACAAGGCTTAAGCAAACAAGAGACCTTTAATGGCTGGTTATGTAAATATAATAAAGGTAATATTTCCTCGAACAAGGAGCGTCATTAAACGTGATGAGTATTTGTTCGTAGAAATATGACGAAAGTAATATTTAAACTGTGGAGCTCTAGGGTCATACAAGACCAAAACAGGATAATTCTGTTGAATCGGAGGGACATTATTCCTATACAAAATATGCTATTCATGAACTTCGAATTGAGCAATTCTTAAAATATACATGGTAAGGCGGAGACATATTACTTAAAATCATTAATAGATATTTACCTATCAGAACCCCAGGTCTAAACCTGGTGGGAGGCCTCGTATGACAACCCCTTCATCCTAGGCACCCTTCTCTGAATCTTTTCCAACAATTCAAGGAGCCCGAGACTGAACACAGTACTCCAAATGTGACCTATACAGTGAAATTATACCATTTTTAGACTTTTATTCAATATTTCTGTAGATGCAACCTAAAATCCTATTTGACCCACCACTAGCTTGGATGGCTTAAGAGACTCTTTCATGACTGCTAAGGCTATTCCAATCCCAAAAAAGTGTAGAACCTCAAGTTAAAATACATAAAAGATGTTATCATATGATGAAATGATAAAATCATTGGCAAAGTAGCTCGTTACCTATTTGTCTTACAAATGAGATATTCGCCTAGAAATTCATTTTCCGTGAATAATTCGGTTATGTAAAAATACATTTAAAGTAGGTAACTTAGATATTTGGCCAATGTCGAACACAAGAAGTTGAGTTGTATAACCAGTTACAATATATATATATATTGGGAGCATGCCGTGGGCTTACAATGCTAGAAACCGGGTTTCGATACCTGTGGTGGGCAGAGCACAGGCAGCCAATTGTGTAGCTTTGTGCATAACTACAAACAAAAATATTGGGAAAATAAATGCTATTTTTCAACTGATTCGTTTTCTTTTTTTAATTGCGCGATATTTGTGTTTAATAAACAAGCCTCCTAATTCATAACTTGTACGTTTGGCGCTAGTTTTACTTGTGATAATTTAAATTTTTTGATTGTCTGAGCCCGAAGTCGAACCCGAATCTTTCGTACACTTCCCTTCATTATTACTGGATTCGTTTGTGGTACATCTTTAAGAAAAAATTAAAAATTACTCCCAAAAAGATGTAGAGCTTTGTCACCAGCAGAACACATTTGACTCTTCTTCAAAAGTATAGAAATGCATTTAAGGGGTGCACTACTGCTCTTTTTTGGTAAAATTGTGCATTTCTTGTTTTCTAGAATATCTCTATCACTTTGGCTTATTTACTATAATAAAAACAGGCTTGAAATTTCTTTCGAAAGAGATTCTAGGACGAACCCTAAACAAAACGGTAATGGAGTGTAGGCAAATAGAAGGGTTAAATACTACACGATGGGTTATCTGTGTCATGCCCACTGCGGGTATCGAAACCAGATTTTCAAAGATATATGCCGTCAGATTTACCAGAATGTAAAGTATAATGAGAGAGAAATATTTAAAAAGTATTAAACGTTTCTTATTTGATGAACATAAAAATATGGTATACATTATTTCGCAGTTTCATGCTCTGAGGTTATACAAACTTAACTGTATGTAACTAAGAACATAGAAGTAAACAATTTAAGATCTTTGGGAACAGTGCATAAAGTATTTTAAAATCCGTTTTCCCCGCAATTTGTAACTTTAAACTTTAATGAATTCGATGCATTACAAACCAAAATACCTTTAAGTTTCTTGAAACCAACACAATACGATTAAAAAGAATGTGTTAATATAATTTGCTTCCTAGTTCGAAACTATGCCACAAGGTGTCAAATGTGGAATTCCACATGTACAGCAACAAAAAACCAGCTAGTTAAGCCAAAAGAAGTTTTTCAGCTAAAATCTGTTGGTCAGCTTGCATGAATAGCCAGTTCGTGGAATCTCATGAAAAGCATACGAGAAAAGTGTACATTCAGTATAGTAAATAATCCCAGGAATCTGTTATTCATCGACTTCAATATAAGGTGACTTTTATGTATAGTTATAGTCCTATAAGGATGATAGATCACTACACACTTTGTCCGAAAATAGGCACATTTAATTGTATTGGAATTAGTGGATAAAGTAGGTGGGCAATGGGATATTTCTGAAGAAGGTAGCTATTACTGACTTCTTGCCGCGTATTTACTATAATAACTGGAAAAACGCCCTCCCTCGAAGACTTTGGTAATGAAGGAGTGTTATCTGAAATAGTTGAAAGTGGCAGAAATGAGGTGGTTGAGATACATTAGAGGTGTAACTTACAGAGATCACAAGCCAAGCGCAGAAACTAGACAGGAGGTGAAAGTTTGTGACATCAGTATGAAGGTGCAGGAATGAAGATTGAGGTGGTATGGGCATGTGTAAAGGATGGGTGAGGACAGTGAAGGGAAGGAGACCAAAGAAGAGATGGAAAGAGTGTATTATTAAAGAGGACTGTGGTAAAGTAGATCTCAATGTGGTGAACGATGGATTGAATAGAGAAGGATCGCGAGACGCCCTGACCCCATAAGAATATAGAAGAAGAAAATTAGCTATGTGAGCGCGGAATAGGAAACGTTTAAATTCATGAACTGCACGTCGATGCTTGTCTCAACGTATTATCTTAAATATATGAACAAAATATTGGATACGTTGAAAGAAAAAAATACTAGTAACATTGCTAAGCCTCGTATAAGGTCACGGAATTGGACAGTGGTAATTAACTGAAATTAGTCCGGATTTGGCGTTAATAGAAGATTGAAGTGTGATTGCAATATTTGTGAGGTGTACGTAGGGATTCTGTAAACAGACCAAAATATATGTAAACCAAAAAACTATCGAAATAATCTCTCTTTTTTTTTCTTTTTTTTTGCAGTTTCTCTTTAACTGAATTTCACATTGAAATATATTTCGCTAACAATGATTTGGAAATTATGACAGCACTTTCAAGAAATAAACTTTATATATATATATATGTTTTTTGATATTATATAAAAGTAATGTTCTAAACTTTTATTCACTGCCATATTACTTACTAGAAGGTTTTATTTGTTTTGTAGAAAGAAACTTGAAAA